AGTGTGCGCCAGCAGCACACACCGCGAGCGCCTTGGCGCAAAGCCCTTAATGGGTGGGGTCCAGGGGCCCGCCCTAGGGCCCCTGGCGGGGTGTAGGGGCAGAGCCCTTTCCCGTGGTCCAGGGGGCGGAGCCCCCGGAAGCTCTTGTATTTTAGCAATTTAGAACCTTTATTATGGCCGTTTTTAAGAAAATTGAAAAAAATATATTCTAAGTGCAATTTTGTAAATTCTAGGGTAATGTTCAACCCAAATGAGACTCCCGAAAAGGTTGCGTAATGACTTGCAAGCTAATACTTTGCTTTAGGTAAAACCAAATTAATTATCAGAGTTAAACCGATTTGACTGAATCTGCAGCTTCACAGTAAGATATTGTTAGACCACATTAATTAGGTTTATTGGCTCTTCGTCTACAACCAACCAAACCTAATACCCTTAATTTACCTATGACTTCTTAAATGAAACTCAATATAAAATTACATTATGATATCCATTGTACACCCAACCCCACTTTACTTTGTATGATACGTCAGTTGTAGAAACCTTTGCTGACTTTACCTGAAGTTAAAATGGAGAGTGTTAAATCAACATTGCTAACAGTGGTTTTAATTAGGTAGCAGTTTTTAAAATAAATAGATTAACAGTAACGAAACACAATATGGCTGTACAACAAATACTTTAGTCGCTGAATGATCATCCAAACCTAATTATTAAACTATTAATAGTTATTTACTTTGATAAACTAAGACATTTCCCATTATTCATCACTGCCCCCTTAGGGTTTATATGTTCTTTATGTAACCCAGTATAGGCTGAGCATAATTAAATAACCTAATATGTAAAAGCGATAGATTTACCCGTTAAATATTTTTAGTATATACATTTACCACATATTCCAGTTCCAGCACACTTCCATACAGTGCAGCATTCGTGACACCACTGCTTACAGGTGGGGCGCATTCCAGAAAATCTGTCACTTTCCGTCCCCGTTTTTTTCTTCCATTGCATGGACAATCTATGAAATTAGACAAATATTGGCAGAGCCAATAAATATGAAATGGTGCAACGCTTAAACTCTCCTTAAACTCTGTTTGTGAAGATGTTATATAGTTTTGATTAACAATGTTAATTAATGTGCCTACCAAATATCTGGTCTCGCTTAATTACACTGTCGGGATCTGCAGCTTCTGAAACCATAGAAATATAGTCATTGGAAGTTATTGGAATATATGTATGACATGAATATACATACACTGTATGTAAATTACACTATTATAATTTATTATAGCACGCAACTAACACATGATAACAAGTGCCACGCGTAATGCTCCCCTCTCGCTGGAGATGGGCTGACTATACATACGACAGCTTGCACTGTACAGAAATCATAGCGTAACCAGTCAGGCTACGTTATATCAATTTAACCCGGAAAAGCAGTGAGGTCTGCGAGTAATTTGGATTTTTTTTTTAAAGATCCCAGAAGAAAGACGTCATGTGCTACTGCGAAGGGCTTCTAATACCAGTAAAAACATTCGATAATATCAGCGCATTGTCACGCGCGAGAAACGCTCATGCCATCCGCGTATAGGATCCCGCTTATACTAAAAAAAAACCACAACGAACATACGACATAATTGTGTTCATGTTAAATTATGACATTTCACATTTGGCATTTTCGCGCGTGTCCGTGCGGCCGCGGGCGCAGAGACAGGCGACCATTTACGCGTCGACGTCATTTTCCCCTTGCACGTGCGCACGCGAGACCGTCTGTAACCGAGACCGCTCATAGTATCAAGGGTTAATAATGACAAATTTGTCCTTATTAACCCCTGATAGTATCATGTTCTTTCTCCACTCCGCAGACAGTCGAAATTTGACGGCAACATCTTCGATAAGCTGCTGCAGCGCATGGAGCAATACGCCAACAACTTGGAGGCGTTGGTCGACGAACGAACTAAAGCCTTTCTCGAGGAGAAGAAGCGATCGGAGGAGCTTCTGTATCAAGTGTTGCCCGTGTGAGTGACCCGTACTGCTAGAAAGGGCTAAGTACTAACTGCACCTACGTACTAAGTACACGCTCGTTCATCCCACAGATACGCTTGGAACGTTTCAATAATAAAATGATGGTAAATAAAAAAATAAAAGAAATGTATTTACTACCAAAGTCTTTATGTTTATAATATGTTTTCTATCGACGAGTGATTCCACGTAAATGCCGTTCGGTTGCTCCTCTGTAACACACTTACCGCACGCACGCAGCTGTGCACTAAACTACAAAAATTATATACAAAGAACTATGTGGTGTGTTGCAGAGGAGCACGGCATTTACAGGAAATTATTACTAATATCTATTAGGAGAACAAGAGTAGAAAAACATTAGGACTTTAGTAGTAAATACATTTCTTGTTTATTTACCATTATTTTATTATTGAAACGTTCCAAGTGCCTGTGGCTTATTATGCGTCAGTGCGTCGCCACCACGTTGTCTCGCTTAATAATATTAAGAGTCTATAATATAATGATAGAAAATTATATTGTAGACTCTTAATAATATCTAGCATTTCCGTCGCCATTCTTTCGGATTAAATTATACGCGTCTCTCTTGGGTTCGTTGTGTGCGTTTTTTTTTGCAGCAAATATTACTTAAATCGTTACAATTACATTGTGAGCGTGCGTAGCTGAGATACCATTACAGTATTCATGTATTCATCGTGATGACGTCATGCGCAGCGTGTTTGTCCGCGGGGACTATTATAATCTGTGCACGATATGCAGGCTTGTTAGCACGAAGTAATTATTTATGGCGAACGCACTCTCCCACTTTCTGCCTAGTGGACATGTGTTATTAGTAAGTCCAAGGATTGGTCAACCATATCTTGATAATGTACAAGCAATTAAGAGATCGTTAAGCTAATTTTCCAAACAAATGCTGCTCTGAGGATAAACTGACACGTTATATTAATTGCCCAAATAAACCCTAGAACATTTTATACGCCGAGTAAACCGATGTTGGATTATGTCACTGAACATGTAAACGTGCTTAATTACGTGTACCCCTCATTAGGTTTCTTATGCGTGATCGTGCTATATCAGGTAACGTCTTCCACGAAGCATGAGATATGCCATTCAGGAAATGCTGTCTAATGGATCGGAGTAATGTCGATTTGCTGCATATAATGTGATTGGTATTAATGAGAAAGAAAATTGTAGCTATCGTGATCATTATTACCATGATAGTTACCATAATTATTATTATTATTATTATCAAAATCATCATCAGTATCATTAGCAGAATAAAAGTTTCAAATATATTAAAATGAAGAAGCTAGAACCGTACTAAAATGGTAAAATGTTTTACAAAACTCAAAGACCGACTAAGGAAATTAATAAGCCAACGGGCGCGTAACATCTAGTAACCACTCGGAGCACACCCTCCGAAACGAGGAGATATAATTGCGTCAATTTGTAAAAGCAATTTTGACTCGTTTATTTCACGGATAGATCCGTCGCCGAGCAACTGAAGATAGGAAAGCCGGTGGCGCCAGAAACCTATGATAGTGTGACGATCTATTTCTCCGATATTGTCGGGTTCACGTCACTAAGCGCCGGGAGCACACCGATGCAGGTACGACGGGGTGAAGAGCAGCAGCAGCAGCAGCAGTGTAAAAGTAAATGTCAGATTATTCTTTTGTTAACTATATTATCTGAATATTGTGCAACCAAAGAACATTTCTACTATATATATATATATATTGGTAAAATCAATGTATAGAGTAATTATTATTATCGTAAATGTATATAGGCGTATATATATATATATATGTAATAGATTATGTATATTCATCACACATCTCGGCCTGGGGGTATGTGACGCTCCTCGTATAAACAACTCGTTACGATGATTTCTTTTCCCGGGGGCAAAATTTCCTGCCAAATTCCACCGATACGCGGGGACACCCGCGCGTGAATATTTTGCCGGTGTTTTCGCATGGGCACAAAGAGGAATTAGTCGATTAGCTTGCGCTTGATCTCCTCGCTCTTAAGTGATTACTGTCGGCATTATAGCGGACGAATACCGACGTCGTTATAAGTTTGTTGGTTTCTCATCTTGCCGAGAAGACACACGCATGATAGAAGCGCCGCCATGCGCATGCGCGGGTCACGTTCGCTATCAGTATATACAGAAAAATCGCGATGATCCGAAGGTTCAGTACCGTTAGTGTCGCCTGCAATCATTAGTTCTACGATAGATATCTCGAAATAGCCGGCAAGCATCGCGTTACGGCCTCTCACAACACGAGTGGAAAGGCGTGAATGCGAGAGCTAGCGCTAAATTGTAAATACCGCGTTTCGCGTCAATCGCTCTATTTAGAGCTAGAGCGACTGACTTTAGAGAACATCCTGGGTTACTTTACGCCAGAATTCTGAAGTAGAGTCGACTGCGTAATATTTCAATGTGAATTGGATCTATGTAGTGCGTAATAGCCGTCAACCGCGCGAGCTAACGCAATATCTAGCCGACGAAACGAAACTATATAAAACGAAAGCGTATTATTTGCCCACACGCACTCTGTTACGATTATGTGTGTATACTTACACACACACACACGACACACACACACACACACACACACACACACACACACACACACACACACACACACACACACACACACACAACACACACACACACACACACACAC